ATTGGAATATTTCATATATTTATTATTTATATATTTATTAAAATACTTTATTATTTATTATTTATACATCTATTAGAATTACCGAAACAACAACAAGAAATGGATTCGATTGCAACGAGTAATAATGCTAACTCACACATGTGAGATACGCGCGTAATAATCGGTATCGCGACTTCAGCGTTGATTTGCATTCGTCTAATAAAATATGAAATACGATCTCTTTCTCTATCGTAATTCTTGAGGTGAATACTCGATCTCCATAGTCGCATGCAGTTTTGCGAGATACGCGCAGACAACAAGGCGGGTGTGGCTCTTGGAAGGGACATTTCTGCAAGCGTACAAATGTAATAAGGCTAAGAAGCGACAATAACATTTATAGCCCCCGCGACCCCATGAATGTATCGAGCCATGTGCAATCTTTCACATGAATCACGCCGTTCAACGACAGTTATGTGCTCTTCGCAGCCGTATCAGCCGCTCGCCAAGAAGTCGCAGGGGTTACGATTGTTCCAGCTGAAAAAGCATAGCCATTATCCAGTTACAGAAAATGGTCTCGCATCCGTTTTCCCGATCGAATCACTCGGCGGCGATTCATCCGTCACTCCGATTTAATGCGTGTCTTATTTCCGACCTCCCCTCCGTTCTCACCCCTCAGATCGTCGCGCGTGCAATCGCATGTAAACGCAAAAGTTGCGAAAGCAAATTCATTCCCCTTCGAAAGCAGAAAGATGACTCATGGGGGATATCTCTCGCTGCTCGATTGTACACGTCTCAACGATCTTTACGATACGTAAGAAGATAACAATCAATAAAACAATAAAGTGGCAATGTCAAAGTTATACACCGGAATCGTAAACTGTTGCGAGAATAAAATTGTTGTAGAATTTTATTATAATTAATATTACTCGCAAAGAGTATATATATATATATATATATATGTATCTTGTAATTAATAATCATATATCTAAGAACATCTTTCGGAAAAGTATCATGACAATCTTGGAAAGTAGCAAGATACTTTTTCTGACGCGTCTTTCTTTTCCACCTCCCGGGAGAGATTTACTCGAGGCTGATAAAGAGCCGCACTATTTTTCTAAAGATTTTTAAATTACCGAGCGCGGTTTATAAATAGGGGATTATAGCGAGACGGTAGCGTTGCGTTATACACACCATATTTCCTCTCCGCGCACACAAAAGCCCGCAAAACTTCCTGAAGATCCTTCGCCGCGAGCCATTAATCAATGACGAGGAGAGGTAAGGCCGAGTTACCAAGTTATTTGATTGACACCATAAAGATCGTTAATAGCAAGAGTGCCATCGTGTGTGTATCAGCGTGAGTGGCGTATACATTTATCACGCAATGTCGGTAACAGCAATTTACACAAACACACAGAGATACGGGGTGCACGATGTATCCCTCATTCGCGTAATTTAACGATGATTAAACTGCGTTGCCTCATTACAAGAGGCAACAAAATGTAATTGAAATCGCTTACTGGCCGTTATCGATCGTTCTCTGTCAGCGCCTATTTGTACGCATAACGCGGACGAAACTTTTCGCGGAACCATTTTTCCGTAAAATACATATCCAAGAGGGCTGTTTGAGTATTAATTAAAATCCTCTGGCGCGCGAATGAAATATCTCGATTGCTTGCGCGCGTCACTTCATCGCATAATAATATCCGCGTGCTCGCGCGAAGGATATTAAATAATAAAATAAGAACAACGCGATTATGACTCGGGATTATTTTCGCGGTATAAAGACCTATTCCGTAGAGACCAGCTATTTCTCTCGTCTCTGAAATTGTCGGCTCACTTAGGTCCTGCCTTCCTCCGAGCCTCCGGCGCTATTAATCAATGAGGAATTCAGCAATTAACGCTCCGGTTTTATTAACGTTCCGCGGGAGTTTCGTCACGTATAAACATTATTTATGTGCATCTACGTATGTATGAGCGATATCTGTGGAAATATATTTTGTCAAGTATCAGCGCTTGTATTCGATTTACTTGCAAACATAATTTTATGATATAATTAAAAATAGACTTAAGTGGAGCTTAATGTGGGTAATGGTACATATAGTAGACAAAAAAGTACAAATTAAAGTATTACAAATATCTTCGTCTGGAATTTCCTTAGTGAAAGAAGAAAGCATAAATAGCCAGAGTACAAATTTAATTACATGGATCGATCCCATAATTTTATGAAAAAGAAATTTTGTATAAATATTCGAAAAATATCAAATATCAACAACGAAATAAATAGCGATAATCAAATACTGTAGAAAGGACACGCTTTCAATAAATTATTTTTATCTCTCAAAGAGATCGATCGTAAATTGCTAGTAAATTCAATCCGCAACCGGTACTCGTCGCCGCAAATCGAAGATTGATTCGATGAAAAATCTTTTGTTCTGGATATCGAGAAACGAAAAATCAACGCGTAGCTCGCAATGAAAACAATTTATTCGCGAAAGCAATCGATAATTTCGTTCATTCGGAAGCGACGTTCTCGTAGCGGTTCTTGGAAAACGCGGAGTGAATGATCAGCACGTTTACGGTTTACCTTGTCACGATTACAGGACCGATTTCACGGCCGAAGTCGCTATACTCGCAGATGGGGGAGACGTGATAAAAGTGCACAGTCGTTCCCGGCGTGATCGGGGATTTTCATCCGAACCGATGCGATGGTGTCTACTTCTAGTCGCTGATACCATTACTTCGCAGTAAAAAGAGTGTAAACGCGACGTTAGGACTTAATGTTAGTCTACAGCCGCACCCTCGCTCGCTTTCACCGCATCTCTTACGCCCCCCGATAGTTCGTCGAACTCCGTTCCTCTTTTATATCATCGCGGCGACGCCGATGTCGTCTTTTGTTGGCAGAACGAACCAAGAAACCTATTAAAATCCCACGCCCTCGTATCTTAATAACATTACCGACCGTTCGATGGTGATACTCACGCTCGATAAGATTACATAAGATAGGGAGAAACTTATCGCGGACAGCAGCGTAATTTCGACGGCAATATCTCTCGCTCGTTTAATGCAAATTATTGAGCTTTCAATCGCCAGTATAATGACTATGTTTTTAACCCATTCACGTTAATAAGATGACATATATCTGTCGTTAAATTTATCACAAGCTGTATAATATTCAATATTGTATAATATTGCTGCCTTGATTACACAGTCGTGGTCAAAGGAACGTGAAATATTTTTTATAAATTGCAGTGATATAAACTTTGATCTTAAATTATATATAAAGATTAAATAATAGAATATTTGATATATAAAAAGAGTAAACGTATAAAACCATATACAAACCGCT